TAGTCGAGCCCTCTCGCTTAACCTCTTTTACCTGTCTGACCCGACAAACCCAACAGCTTGTCCCAAGCTCTCTCTCCTTCGTCTTCACTCTATCGCTTGACAAAACCAACCGACCTGACCCAATGCCTCATCTGACTTGATTGATTCATCACCTTCAGCATCACTCTTTCAGCACTAAAATAAAATGTATAAATTTCTTTTATGTCTTGCTTTCTTAAGTAATTGGTGTCTATGACCCATCGTTGTATCTTTGATCCAGTTGGGAGAAAAACTAAAAAAGACATGTGCCATCATATCTTTTGATCCGGCTAGGAGATTAATTATACGAAGACCTCGTGTCATCGTATCTTTTATCCAGTTGAGAAGATTGAAAGACAAGTGCCTATTCAACACCTCCTAGATGGGGGGGGGGGTTGACATGTCGGGAGACTGCCGAAATTTTGAATGGCATATGATATCCACTTCATTAAATAAAACATTTTGAATTTTGAAAAACAATATGATGAATGGAATAATTTATTAATTCTAATCTTGGGTCAAAATACTCGTCCTTTGCGAAGTCCCATGATCATGATGATACTAAATCAACCTATTTTGGATTTAAATATAAATATAATTAACAAAAACCTATTTCTAATTAAAAAATGAAGATAATCCCAACATCTAAATCTAGTAAAATTAAAATAAATTTGGAAAGATTCTAAATATTCAAATATTTCAAAAGTAATATTCCTATATTATATAACTAGCATTTTTAGCAACAGTGTCAACTCGATGATTTTAATGGAATGTCTAACTCATCGTCACTGAGAATATAAACAATGATATGAAGTGATGAAAGATAAGTAAGCCAAGTCTCTCCTTCACCAAAATTTAAACATTTATGAATATCTCTTTTTTTGGAATATAAAGAAGATTTTTTTAGGAATATTTCAAAAGTTTAAACAGATCATAAAGTTTATAATGACTATAGTAAATAAAGACAGTGATGGCTAGGAAAACATTAAGAATCAATGATATGATAGGAGTGCAAATAGATCATATGTATCAATATAGTGCATATGATTGGAGGATGATCATTGGAGAAGTAGAATAAAAGTTATGACATTGTAAGATTCGGGATATGATGTAAAGCATGCTGAGGAAAAGTACGACAATAAAATTGATGTGAAGCTAAGGGGTCACGAGGAGTTTGTTATCGGAAGTTTTGTGCAGAAGCAAGCATGTAGGGGAAGTGAAAATTTTGTAGCAAGAAGAATGTTGCCAGTTAAAGCGAGAATGAGAGGTGATCGATATTACAAGTCACAGGCAACTAAGGTATTAAAATCTAATATATGAAGGCATTACTAGGAAACATTTAACTCATCAATCGCTAGCATGTTTTCCTTCCAAATGATTGCTCGCTATCTATGATCTTAAGAAATGCAAGTATTAATGTATTGTGTCAGCATATTGATCAGGAGGCAAATGTATTATGCGTAGGTAAATACAAACGGATTAGGCAAGTGCAAAAAAGCAAAATACATTATGCATATGCATATAAGCATTAATCAATGTGTTAAGTTCATTAAGCAAATAAGCTAAAATATATTCTGCATGTGCTTCAATCTTTATATCAAGCTCCTAAATGCGAGATCTGAGAACGCTTCGCAGATTTGTTAAAAGTGCTCAAACACTGTGATGATGATCGTGTTGACAGAAAATATATACCCGAGGGGACCCTACCTTTCAAAATACTCAAATTCTAATGCAAAATACAAATATATTTAAAGTGACAATAAAATTACCTTGATGATGATCGTATTGATAGAAAATCTCAATCGGTGGGCACCATGCCTTTCAGAATACCCATGAACCTTAATGGAAATTCAAATCTTTTAAAGTGATTGCAAAACTACCCCAACGATAATCGTGTTGAATGTAAATCTCAACCATAGTCAATTCTCAAAGCTTATTAAAATTTCAAAATCCAATATCTATCAAATTCTAAACATTTAAATGAAAATTTAATCACAAAAAAATTTATAACTAAAATTCATCCACATTTCATAAAGGTTTGACAATGATGATGAATTGAAGAATAACTTCAGCTTACACAGTGCAGATGTTTGTTGAATGTATTACTACAATTCATTCTCAATTGATTTCTTGTCAGCAGGGACGTGGCACGTGCCCTCAAAATTCAGTGATTTTGCCATAAAATGACACCACTATATTACAGTCCTAGTCAAAGCTTGTACGTTCCCTCATGATTAAATGCGCCTGAAGTAATGAATTATAAGGCACGCTTAACAAGATATAAAGTCATCTATTAGGTAAGGTTGACTTAAATTCACCATCTTAGGCAAACATCCACTCCAATTTTACTAGGTATTCTTGGACAAAGCAACCTATAGTTGCCGATAAGGTTCCTTCTGTCTGGTGGGTCGACTACCTCCTCTTACTAAGTAAACTAGGGACTATGACAGTCTGGGATGATGAAACCATGGGATATTGATCGGACCTCTCATCATTCCCCCATCACTCACTCTAAGTTTATGGTGATGAATTTCAAATCATGAACTCCAAAATTCAAAACTAAATTCAAACCATAAAATTGTTACTACTATACGCTAGGTAATTATTGCGACTTATTTAATGACTAGCATTAATCAAAAGTTCTCTCTTATTATCAGGATGCATAATTAATCATAACGGCTTGTGCCAATGGGAAACCAAAACTCATATCATAAGGTGATTGGAGAAGTTTGCAAGTTAAGTCTTGAGCGTTGCGAGAGAGAGGGAAGCTTGACGAGGGCTCTTTGTTTAGAGCAAAGAGGGAGGAAAGGGGGTTGTATTTCTACATGGAGAAGGCAGGTTGAAGCTGACAAAGATATGAGGGAGTATATGATAGGAAAAAGAAGAAATGTGATTTTAAGACTTAGGTTTTTAGCAAAACGAAATTTGAAATGATGACTGAGGGGACATCATGTGACGGACATGTCTGATGGGACTGCATAATATTGATGGAAGGAGTATATGGTGAGAAGCGAAATTTCTGGGTTTTGAAAGATTTCAATTTTATTTTAATGATTTTTTTAATTATATATAGAGAGTAATTATTTATTATATATTATAAATTAAATGTAATTTTAATAATAATAATCATAATAATTAATTTTTTCAAATTAAAAATTTTATTTTAATTACATCAATTCTCCATGCATTTTTCATTATTTGCACATCTTGAGCTGCATGTCATCACCTTGCGTGCAGATAAATTTTCTTTTCACATTCATGTCATCGATAAGAAATTCCTTTTAACGGGTAATTTTGATGTCCCGAATGCATCTGTGCAATCCCTTTTATGAACGGGCAACATTTGAGTGACTTTGTATGACGTTGCATTCCTTGTTCAATGTTTTGGCCGATATTGATCGAGTTACTAGAGGGAGGTGCTTTCTTTAGTGTTTTTTATGCTTCAGAATCGTCAACATAGTCTATTTCACAAATGCATGATCCTTAAACTACTACAATCATGCTCAAGGCATTTCGAACCTAGTTCATGAGATGTTGTAATAGTTAGACGTTATTCTCATCATGTTTGATTGAATTGAGCGCAAGAGGTGATAAAAAATGTGGGATTAAATTTTTAGTTTTGCGTGAATATTTTTTTAATTTTTTTTAATCTGCTTGCCTTTATTGTCTTTGTTGTATTTGGCTAGTTTTTATTATAATTCTCTTAGATTTAAAACTTGCTTTTCGGTCTCCGTTAGTGCATAAAACTAGCCTTAGATTTATGAAGAAAAAAATTGGAGAAAAATATTTCTTCTTTGTTTTCGCCCAAGTAGAGGTAGACCTAAAAAGACTTGGTCACATTAAACGGAGGCCTTCTGATGACCCGGTTAGGAAAGTTGTGGTATTAGATTCGACTTATGTTAAGAAAGATAGAGGTAGACCTAAAAAAGACTTGGTTAGAAATTATTAGAAATGATCTTTCTTTATTAGATTTAAATGAGAATTTGACTTTTAACCGGACACAATGGCAAAAAAGGATTCATGTAGCTGACCCCACTTAGTGGGACAAAGGCTTGATGTTGTTGTTGTTTTCGCCCAAGTATGAAATTTAAAGGATGTTTAGTTTGCAGACATCTGCTATGTGATGTCAAATTATAAGGTATGTCAGTTGTTCGGATTACTGATAAGTGATATCTTTATATAAAAATTTCATAAATGATATTTATGTTTTTTTTTAATGACATCTAGATTTGACTTAATCTGATGACATCTATATGTCAATTTATCTAATTGCTAAAATAAATGACTTGGTAAGGAAATATCAAAATCATTACAAATCTTTCTGGATAACATTTTATTTTTTAGAAAACGCTGAATCAAACACAATGTATTTGATAGATAACATTGCTTAATGAGTAATGCTATTATTTAAGTAGCATTGAATCAAATAACCTCTCAAAGAAATTTGGTATGTAGAATTTTCTTTAAAAAAATGATATCCTTGTTTTATAATAACTCGCAACTCATTTACCTTACATCTCATAAATGTTTGCAATTGTCTGTTTTTTTAATGAGTTCACGTTGAATTTTACTTTCAGAGTGGTTCCTTGTGATCTTTATTAATATAAGTGCCAGCCATTTTTCTGCTGCAATATTTAGTTGGGGCTGAATTGGAATCTCCTCATGCTTTGCAACATTGTCTTTGATGGGAATGAACTTTTTTTTTTCTTTTTTTTTGCCTAGATTCGAACCTTAGATATCCACTTAGATATTGTTAGCTCAAACCTGGCTCTGCTATCCTGTTATGTTAATTATGCAAATTTAGGTTTCATTTGGGACGGCTTTCCTACTGTTTCTTGAAGCAAGTTTTTATGAACTAAAAAGCCTCTTCAAGAAGTAGTAAGAAAGCTGTCTCAAACGAAGCCTTAAGTGACGATTAGGAGTTCCAACCTGCTAATAGTTTTCATTTCTCTGAAGTAAATCAATTTCTCCCCCTGTTGCAGAACTGAAAATACAGCAGGCAGTGTTGTGACTATATTCAAACTAAATTCCTCTCACTGATGAATTGTATGGAGCTTTTCTGGTCGACACGGTTTCCTCAAAAGCATTTTCCTCCATTAAACTTCGAAATCCAGCTTGTTAATTCGTCTTCTTACATGCCTATAATTTCATTAAGACAGGTTTTGGCATGTTCCTGTAGCACTCAATGTGCACTCCTTGTTGTTCAATTAGATTTTCTGTAGCAATGAAGGTTGTAGGTACTTGTTGTTCTTTAAGTGGGCATAAAAACCAGCTAAGTTATTTGAGGGGTCATACCAAAGTGTAGATATGAACAGCTTTTAACTTGAGAGAACAAAATTGTCTTGCACATTCATATTATTTTATTTCTAGCTAGTTCCTTTCTTAATCGATAAAAATTGAAGTACTAATGCATTAGCCATATCAAGTAGCCCTTTTAGCACTAATTCTCTTTCCTCTATTTGCTCATGGCTAGCCACTATTGAGGATAGCATTGGATGATATTATTTAAAGAGTGTGTTCCTTCTTGATGCTCTCTAATTTGTGTTTCAAAATTGTAATAAACCCATTTGTAATAGTTGTTTTATGAAGGGTGTGTTGTTTTATGAAACTTTCATTTTTGGGATAATTTTTTCGTAATATTGTTTTTCAAAAAGTTGTCGTAGATCTATTTGGCTATTATTTTCTGTTATTTTTAGGGAGTTTTATGGTGATAAGCAAATTTTAACAATAAAATATGCTAGAATATCGTAGCTATGAGAAATTTGTTGTACGACTTTTTCATAAGCAAAAATATATGCCCACAATAGCTTTGAATCAATTATGCGTCCAAATTTGTTACTCGATGTATTTTCAATTATGCAAAGTGTTTGGTTGATAATACACCAAGCAAGAAACTTGGATTTAATTCAACACACAGAAGAATTACTTTTCAAGATTGTTGTCTACTTTTAGGCTTTGTTTGGGATAACTTTCTTATTAATTTTTAAAGCAAATTTTCAATATAAGAAATTTTTGTACTAAAATGTTATTTAGAAAGCAGTAAGAAAGCTATCCCAAACAAAGCTTTAATTCTGCATATGCCATCTTATATGGGGTTCACACTAAGAGATTCAACATAATTCTCTTTAATTTATTAATTATTTCTATTTTGTAGCATAATGGATTCTTTATTCGAAGCCTTTTTAGCACCATTAACTCTTCAATAGATCTGTTGAAAATCCTTCTAGGTTCATTTAGGCTTCGTTTGGGATGGCGTTTTTATTGCTTCTTGAAGCAGTTTTTTAATATAAAAATAAAAAATTTTGTACTAAAAAGTTGATTCAAGAAGCAGTAAAAAAATCGTCTCAAATGAAGCCTTAAACTATAGTAGCAGTTCCTGCTGTCTGTTTATTATTCAAAGATCTCTCTTCAACAGTTACTTCTTTGTCTACTGAATAGTTTACTTGGAGATCACAAGTGCTAAAATTATTTACTACAAATGAATGCTAAAACATATCATCCAAACTTATATGATGTTTGGATGTATGATGTTTGGATGACCTCTACTTATTACCATGCAACAAAGAAACAATCTCGCCAATTAGATTCATAGAATACACAAGCCTCAATCAATTACGTAGTCATATTTTTTATGCTACAAAATAGTGATATAATGTCACGTTTTTTATGAAATCTCTTACCCTTGTGCTAAAATGGATTGTTCACCTCCAACCAATTATGTTGTCAACATGTCACCACACGGGCTCTTAATACCCACTTCATGTTACAAATTTTTTCGTAGCACTCAGAAGTATCCATAATCACATCTTCATACACATCCCCTACAATAACTCTTACTAGCTCACCACATATCTCTCTTTAGTACTTCCCTAAAATTGATTCATCGTATGTTCATTCAACCTAACCTATTTCACACAAACTATTAAGGAACTATATTGGAGATAAGTTATGTATCATGAATATCATATTCTTCAGAAATAAGGCACTTGGACTCTAATGCCTCCATCATCCACTCATAATGTTCTAGGTTACTACTGGACTTTCAATATGAAACTTCATTTTGATGGCTTGATTGCAAGAAACAAGCACACTTTGTTGCACTAGGCTTCAAATCAGAGTGTTGGATAGATTATATTTGTATTCTCCTCACTCTACTACTTATAATTGAGTTTTTTTTCCAACTAGATATATCTAATAATTTCCTTCATTGCCAACTAACTAAAATGAACTTCATGAAACAACCCCAAGGTTTTGAAGATCCTCATTTTTATCACTATGTTAGTCGCCTTCACAAAGCAATTTATAACTCAAGTATGCACCACAATAATGGTTTTCCACCTTTTTGAACTTTCTATTGCAACAAGGCTTCATATTTAGCTCTTTTAACTCTTCTCTTTTCATATATAGCAAAAACTTGATTCAACTTTATTTATTGATCTATTTGGTTGATACCTTACTAATAGGAACTAGTGACTCAATCTTAAAATATTATCTATAGAAAATCAAATTAGCTTTCAATATTAAATAGCTAGAAAAGTCACACACTTTTTAGACATTCAAGTAACACTCTGATCCTCACTTGGTCTATTTCTACATGAAGAACAAGATGCATAGTAGCTTCTCCAAAAATCTAGAATTGATGATTGCAAGTTTGCTTCTAATTTGATTCTCTCCAAACAACACTTCTACATTACCTCCAAAACAGAATTTTGAAAACCCAACCTTTCATAAACAACTAATTGGATCCATACACTATCTTACCATCATAAGACATTTCCTTTATTATCACTCAACATTGCCAATCAATACACTGTTGCTTGAATTATCACTTTCATCTCTTAAAATGTCTAATGTGATACATCAAAGAAACTACTCACTTTGATATACCAATAAAAAAGGGGATCTTACACTAATAACTCAAACATAGATTAGGACGAAATCCTATCGATAAAAAATCAACTACATTCTTTTATTCTTATTGTGGACTAAATTAATCTTATTGCCAGACAAAAAGCAACCAACTACAATGTGATCTTCAACTGAAGCAGAGTTTTTCACCCTTGCAGTTGGTGTAATGGACATCATCTAGTAAGGAGATTCATGCAAACCTTAACATATATACATATATCCCTCAATCCAAACCTCTCTAATGTGATAACATCTCTATAATGACAATTTCTAATAATCCTATGTTTCATTTAAGAACCAAACATGTAGAAATTGAATACAACCTTTTTTCATGAACACACGATTCAAGAAAATCATCGTACAACATATTTACACATGATCAAAATGCAAATATTTTCACTAAAACTTTATCAATGTCAAATTTCCACCAACTTAGAGATACATTAATTGTCAAGCCTTGAACACTCAACTTGTGGAGAGGTAATCGACCTTTTCCATTTTACAAACAAGCAACAAAAGCAATTACTAAAGAATATTCTGCATTAAGCCTCAAATATAATGCAAAGCATGTGGAGTAGAGTAATATCCATGCAAAATGTAATTCTTCATTTAATAACTGTATTTAATAATGATTTGACGTTATTTTCATTAGTTTCAAGGCCACTTTAAATAACCTTGCACCTTAAATCTCATCCACCCCAACCTCTCAATCATTTTAAAACACACATTTGCTCATTCTTATAATTTCCTACTCCAACCCATCCAATTATCCCACTAAATTCCACATCCAACTCCTACCCTTATAAACCCTCCCATCACTCTAACCCACTACCTACTCTTAACTTTCTACTCAACTGATGTAATCGTGGACTTAGATCTTACATGACCTTGAACTTATTTTAGGAGTTGTTTAATATCCCTTAGAAACCCTAGGGTTGAATACGGTAGAGTTTACTGTTGTGATGGGTTGGCTAGCGTTAATCATATAAGAGTATAATCCTATTGGCAGGTTATTTTTGGACTTGGAAAATTATGTTTGCAAGATAGTGGATTTCTTAATGTTAGAAAAGCTTGAAAATTGTTTAAGGATGTTTGTAGCTGAGATCTAGAGTTTGTCATAATTTTCCAAGGGGCTTAGAGTGGTAAATTGGATGCAAAACTTAGACTTGGCCATGGGACAATAGAAGAGATGTAGTAAAAACATATGGATGATTTTATTTGAAAACTACGATAAAAAATTGTAAAAATAATATTCATCATCAAAGGAGTCTCTCAGCTACCACTTTCTAAGAGGAAGAAGTTTTGTCAAACACTTCCAAAGTACATTCAAATTCATATTAGTTGTTTATGATAATTATGACAACATATTTTTACATACGTCTTTAAGATTCATTTGAAGATTCAAACTTCCTTAAAGGAGGGAGTTGTTTTGATGTTTCAAGAGTGATTGAGTTGGTTGGAGAAAGAGTGAGGATGACCCCTTATTTCGAGTGGAGTGGAGTGGAGTGAACTGGATATTTTGTTGGCAATGAAGATTTGTTGATTCCTTTTTGGCTACCTCTTGACTTACTTAATCCGATTACAATAAGTTTCTAAGCATTCTTGCACCTTTGTAAGTAAAATTGATATGGTATGGTCGACCACCCCAATTAAGCTTGAATTTTTTTGTCTTCTTCTCAACTTAGTTTCTTCTTCTATCCTTACATACCACAAAAATTGTACAAAATATTATTATGCATATATAACAAAATTACACATATGACAAAATACAGAAAATTGTCTTTCTACTAAATACAAAAAATTACAATAGATGAAGGATTTGGCAATATCTATTACATCTTTGATATAAGTGCAATCCTCAATTGTTACTATAATCTTACTTTTTGGGTGAATGCATTGTATTTATGCTTTTAGTTGAGCATATTAACATTTGTTTTTGTCAAATAATCTTTGAACTTCATTATCTCCCGTATTATTACTTGTAGGGTCCCATAGAGATATATGCCTAGCTCTCTAAATAATGTCACTTTTATCTCCTTTGTGATCTCCACCTTTCACTATTTATAAATTTTTTTATCACTTAGCAGAATGATGAAGTTGTGTTGCTTGAAAATTAATCCATATGTAGTTGCTTTTATCGGTTTGCATTATATTATCTTTATAGTTATTAGTATTATTTAGCTTCATGAGGAGGACCTCCTATATAAAAAGTTATGAATTGTAATGGCTTTAATGATTTCTCTTTTTCCCCTCATCACAACCAACCAAGTCATGGTCTCTCTCTTTCTCCTATGGTTGCCTATGTTAAATTGATTTCATCACATTAGTTTCCCATGACCTCTAATGGTTACAAGTGCTTGATGTTGATTGTTGTAAGCCACAAGGGCTTGGTTTGGTCTCTTTAGTACCTCTTGGGTAAACTTAGTAGATATGAAAGATAAGGAGGATGAAGAGAGAGAGAGAGAGAGAGAGAGAGAGAGAGAGAGAGAGAGAGAGAGGAGATCAAGAGGGAGACTTAAAATGCTTTCGATTATATTTATATATATATATATAGAGAGAGAGAGAGAGAGAGAGAGAGAGAGAGAGAGAGAGATTGATCATATTTCTGAGTGTTTTTTTGGAAAATCTTGATTTAAATTTGTTTTTTGATCATTTTCAAAATAATTTGTGATTACGATAATTTGTGATTGCGTCTTCTTAATAAATCATATAGATAACATGTTCCTTTTAAAGGCTAGTTTTATTGCACGTGCCTTAAATGCAAGTGAATAATATTTTAAAAATTTCATATTTTGAATATTAGAATTATATTATTATTGTTAAAAACCCAAAAAATATTAAATTTATCAGTATAAGCAATTATAATTTTAATTACATTAATGAAAAATTAGATATTTATGTTAAAATCATGATAGAGAAAATCTATTAACATAATTTTACAATTCAATATTATAAAACACATATTTTTTTTTTCTAAGTAGCACTAACAATGTAATAAAAACAATCCATTCATATTTAGAAGAAAAACTTAAATTTTTATTAGAAATATGACATTATAGTCTGATAGAAATTTCTTATGAAGTGCTTTGTGTGAATGGAAATATTTAGTAGAAAATTTTGGAAGACTAACCTGCCTAACAACAACATATGAGATTTCAACAAGACTTTCCATCAAAGATCTACACAATAGAAATTTCATCAATTACTCCTTAAATCTAAAAGAGTTGAAATCAAGGATAGGCTAATATGGAGAAGCTTGGAGAACAAATATAATAAACTACTCCCCTCTGGGATTAATTATTCTGTGCAGACACCGAACGTCTTCCGGAGATCAACCAGAATGTGCCACGTCACCTCTGCGCTCGGTACGGCGGCTAGATACTGCTCGGTACCGCCCAGTACTGTGGCTCGGTATTGCTGCTCGATACCGCTGACGTGGCGCAATTTGGTTGATATTCGGATGACGTTCTGCATCCAGTCTCCGCACGGAATAATTTCTCCACCTCTAGAGCCATGTAACCAAGGATGCCAGTTTATTCCATCATATCATTGGGGTTCTGTGCCTCTACAATAGCAACACCAAATCACTATTTTTTATTTTTATTTATTTATTTATTTATTAGCAACATTAAATTACTATGATCCTTAAATTCCATTATATTTTCATATTACAATAAGAAGTTTAATAGAGGAAATGTGTTTTCTTTATTTCACTGATAGCTTAGCCTGAATAGTTTATTTGTTCATCACCCTAATGATGATCCTTAAACTCCCTTACATTTTTATATTATAATGATGAGAGTTTTGTGGAATTTTTGTATTCTGCTGAATATAAATCTCTAGCTGATAATTATTATAAACAATTTATATATAGATACGTCTAAAGAAATAACTGAGATAACCAATATTAGCTAGCGCTATCAAAATCGGGTCACAGGTTGGGTTCGGGTTCAACCCGGAACTGATGTGGCACTGTTCCATCCGATCTAAACCCAACCCGTTTTTGCAAACGGGTCAGTTTTTTAGACCTGAACCCGACTCACTTCGGGACTGGGTCAAGCCGAACCCGACCCGCTTCGTGTATGTTTTACTAAAAAAAATTTAATTTAATTCGATTTATTTAAACCTAAATCAAATTAAGGTAAGATTCTTCAATCAATTAAAAAAATTAAGCTTAATTCAGTTTGGACAACATGATATATCATTTTTTGAAAATAGTATTTACTTATTTCATAACAATATTTTAAAAATCTCCTAAATCAATTAAAAATGTGTCAAATTGGATTGATTTCGGGTTTTCGGGTCAACTCGAATCCGACCCGGTTTTGCAAATGAGTCGAAATCCCTAAACCGAACCCGGCCTGGTTCGGGTTCGGGTTCGGGTTGACCAGGTCCCAAAAATTTCAGATCGAGTTTGGATCGAATTTTCAGATCGTATCAAATATTGGAGTAATTATTGTGTCCGGACACCGAACAGGTGCAAAGACCAATACCAGAGCGTCACATTACCTGGGTGCTCCGTACCGAGCACTCGGTCATGCAGTACACAACATCGGTATACAGCAAAAAAGTGACAAGACACATCCTGATTCGCTTTCAAAAGACATCCGGTGAACACACAGAATAATTTCACCCTAACTTCACCTTCTAAACAAAATAAGCACTGATCATTAGTGCAAAATCTACATCTGCAATTGCCTCATGAAGTGATGTTAATAGAAATTCAAAGAAAGCGAAGCTTATTATGTCGCACATTGTGTAGGACGAAATCAACACTAAGAGGAAATTGAAATATTAATAGAACTGAAATCCAAATTAGATTAACACATAAGAAATAAGCAAAATTAAGCATTTTAATATATTATATATTTTAATATATTTTTTTATTTATTAGGTGTTGATCTAAATTGTGAAAATCGGACAGTAAAAATGAACCGGAAGAATGAGATATTCACGGTTTGATCGGTGGTCGAACCGGATGACATAATAAATAATAATATTATTAAAAATTAATATAATAATATGACGATCTAACCTTAAACTTAAATACAAATCCATCCTACCATTTAATTAAATATTAGTTGAACCAGTTTTTAAAAACCTGCATCGGTTGAACTGTCGGTTTAATTTAGTTCATATCTAAAGCAATTTTTACACAATTCTGAACCGGTCGGTTCAACCGGTTAAATTGACCAATTCGGTCCGATTTTTAAAACATTGGTGTTTATTTATTTTTTTTTTAAATTTAGGTTGGCATATAATTAATTATTAAAAAAATTATAATAACAATAATAATAAACAAAAGGTAGTTGCGGATAGAATGGTGAGAGTGATTTCTCAACTTCCTACCAGACGGGGTTAAAGTAGACATCAGGCTACTACTATAGCGACGGTGATTCTCGGTTCCCTATCTCGATCGTACAAAGGAGAAGAAGAAGAAGGGAACTGTAGCTGGAAATGGCTTCGCCGCTCTGCCGTGTCGCCTTTCTCGCCCTCCTCGTTCATTTTGCTGGATCGGATGGTAATCAGTTTCACCATTTCTCTCGTTAAATCTGATATTCTTTGGAACTTTGAAATGGAGATTTATAAGGTTCGGAACTCACAGTAAAAATGATTTCCTTTGCATTTTTGGATTTGATTTCACCATGATCTGTTCGTTTTGTTTGTATTGGCCTGATCTCGGTCGATTAAAGAAACGGGGTTTCTATCCATAGATCTGTCTTTGTTATGCAATGCTCAGAAAATTTGCGAAAATAGATCTGGTTTTGATTGATGCTAGATCAGGAGTAGGGTTACTGCGGAGACCAAAATGCTCATTTCTTTCTATTCTTTGTTTGACGCTTCATTGATTTTTGTTTCTCTTTCATTTGCACTACATTTGTATGAATCATTATTTTCCCTGATTTGTTATGGTGAAAATGATTTGTGCTTCTTGAGATTGGAAATCATGATCCGATCAACTACATTGATGGATTGCTTCAATGGAGTTAAATTGGGAGTGCATTAGGTCAAGGGAAATACGATTGGAAGAACTACAGAGTATACTTGAGTTGCTTGATATATACTGAATTAGGCTTCCAAAATCCTCAGAGAGCAGGTCTCACTGAGCTTGAAGGTGTTAGTACAGGCTAGGGCTCAAGAAGACCATTATAGTACGGCAAATTATTGCATCCGGTCACCTGACAGTTCGGATCTCTCTCTTTCTACAGTAAAGCGCAGGTTAAGCGCAGGTGTGCTACAGTACCTGCGCTTTCACTGTAGACAGAGAGAGCTCCGAACGCATCTCTCTGTCAAGTGACCGGATGCAATAATTTGCCTTATAGTACAGAGGAAGACAGACATGACATTAGAGTCATGGATTTTATTGATTATAAATTTAAGATCAATCCTTATTATTATTATTTTTTTACATAAATCATAATAGTTCATCTATGACACTATTTTATTTGACTTTTTTATTCATCTTGTTTTAATCCCAAATGTAAAACAAATCAAACTAATCGATCTAAAAAGGATGAAAAACTTAAGTTGTGCTTGAATTGTGTCAAAGTGATTAGGTTTTTTCTAGTTTTGTTTGATTTATCGATTTATTGTTTAGATTCACATGTTTTTTCCTTACAAGAAAAAAATAAACAACCCTCTTCTCACCAAATGATTAGATGAAACCTTAGTTCAAGTGAATTCCTTAAACCAATGAGATCCTCATAATCTTCACTGATGTTCTATGGCAATTGAAAATGTTTAGCTGATTATAAGAATGATGAGTTTCATTAATAGAAGCCTTTCTTCTTCCTTGTATATTTTCATTACCAACAATGCAAATCCCTGATAATGTACTATAGAACAAATATTTAACTTTGGCTAGTACTTTTCTTTGAGATGCTTTGTTGTCTACTAACAATCCTTTGTTGATTGTAATGCTACAATCATGTTAGTGTTTTGGGTTTTTATGTTGAAGAGTAAAAAGTTTAGAAGCAATGCCACTTTTTATTCTTTTTGTTCATATATTCTTCATTTATATCAACTTGGAATTCAAAGAAAAATTAACTATCGTTAAGAATTTGTTTGCAGCAGTTGTATATATTCGTAAGAGTAATTATAAAGTTGTTGTGAGAAAATAATTATTTTTAAAGTTTTGGGTATTAATTTTTTTTCTTAAAAAGAAAATCATACAATAACTTTCCTATAACCACAACACTATAACAAATTTGATTATAAAAATTTATTTATATTTTTTCAACAATTGTTTTTTATGTTTTTATAATGCAGTAACTGGTCAATATTAATCTTGTCTTGCTCTTCTATATAGAAACAACTGACCAGCTTCTTAAAGGCATCAACACCTACAGAACATCTCTCAAACTATCTTCTTTAACAGAGAATCAAAATGCTGATTGTTTGGCCGAACAAATTGCCAAACAATTCAAAGGTCAGCCCTGCACCAACACTACTGGAGCCAACACTATCCCCGGTACTGAGGAGCAGTTTTCAAACTATCCAGACTTTCTCGACCATTGTCATCTCAATGCAACAGTAACTCAGGATTCTTCAATAATGCCTGCATGTGTTCCTGACCTCCAATCAGACCTCGTCCTCTCTAACTATACAAAATCACAGTACTCTGGTAGTCTAAATGACAGCAAGTTTGTCGGCGCCGGGCTTGCTGATGAAGGTGACTGGGTTGTTGTGGTTCTAAGCACAAATACTCCGACCGGTAGTTTTTCACCGGCAACTGCTTCTGGCTCTAGCTCTATTACTGCAGGTGTTGTTTCCTTCTATTTGATGGTTTTGCTTTTGGAATTTTTGCTTATGATGAAATGATGAAACAGTTTGCATTTTCTTATCTATAATCCAGCTAGTTCATATGATGATAGGTTTCTTTCTGCTTCTTTCTATCTCATTTATCTCTTCTCAAATCTTGGATTGAATTTTCATATATTACATTCTTTAAATTTCATTGCAGGAATACTTTATCTTGTTGATTTTATATGTTATTGGGGTGAAATAGTATGATTTGTTTTGAATTTGCTTATGATCTTATATAAAATTCATATGCGGATCTTTCTCATATTGAGAGATTGCAATTCTAAACGTATGAATTTGATTTAGGCTTCATTTGAGACGACTTTCTTACTATTTTATATAACAGCTTTTTAGCATAAAAAGTTTTTGAATGTAAGAAAAAAATAGTAGTCAAAAGCTGTCTCAAACGAAATCTTAGACCTAAGAGAGTTACCAATTACTTTCATGGGTGTTTTCTTTTTTAAGATAAGTGGATACTTTTCATCTCTAGACAGGCTATAACCCAATAAGTCTCATGTGTATATATTTATAAATAATTGTGTCATTATTATAATATTTAAGTATAATAAATATTTATTACATCATCCAGTTCGACCCCAGACAAACCATCGAACCGCTAACCTCTTCTTCCGGTTCATTGACCAGTCCAATTTTCAAAGCATTAGTTTTAGGCTTTGTTTGGGACAGCTTTATTACTACTTCTTAAAGCAATTTTCTAGTACAAAAATTAAATTAGTACACTAACATGATATGAGATAGATGTCTTTGGAAACTACTTAGGCTTTTCTTGCATGAACTTTGGGATTCAATCTTTAAAAGAAAAATAGAAAAATATAAGGGGTCATTTACAATCACTCAATGATTTTTTTTTTTAATTTTTTTTAACATTAAATAAAATATATTTGATATTTAAATATAAATTGTTTTATTTTTTTAATTGAATATGATGGTGATGATGGAGGTGGAGGCTAGCGAGATGATGCTAGTGACAGTGGCAATAGTAATTGTTAGAGGCAATCGTGGTGATGGTAATAGTCAATGTGGTTGTAATGGTTGCTTATGGTAGCAAAAAAAAAAAAAACACACACACACACACAATTTATTTTCAATATTAAAAAAAAAAAAACTTAATTTATTTCAAAAAAGAATTAAAAATTCAATAAATAAATATGTTTTCTAAAAAAACATATCTTAATCATTAATCTATTTAGAAATTAATTGATTCCTCTTTATCCTAAATGACAAAGATATTTTAAAAAAAAATGATCAGAAATTTTATTAAATTTTGTTGGCCTAAAGTTCTGTTTATAGATTCTGTATGTGGGCGCCTTCTGTAGCTTTGAGATACCATTGAAGAGTGAGTACTTTTAGTTATCTATAATTATTGTGGATGAGTTAATTCCCTTAGGGCGAGTATTATTGGGTCAGGTCACCGGACACAGCTTATGTTCGGTATTTACAGTACTGAGCAGTATTGAGCTCGGTACTGTGTACCGAGCAGTACTGAGCTCGGTATTGAGCAGTACCGAGCTCAGTACTATTTGTTACTGCTCAGTACCGAGTAGGAGGTGATGTGGTGCATTTTCATTGAGCTCCGAATACATTCGCTAACCTGACCCAATAATTTTCCCAAAGAGGAAGCTTATCTAATCCCTTATTCAGTGAACTCTCATTGTTAGCTTATCTAACAAACTATTTCTCTTCATCACACACCACTGGTTTTGATAATGACATTTCAAACAAACTCTTGAAATTACCTTCTTTAGAGAACCCCTCTTCTTCGTCACATGCTACTAGTTCCAAGTCACGATGATACCTTCTCTAACACACACCATTGTGAGCCGCCATGTCCCATCAATGTTTCTTTAGTTAGCTACAATTTTGACTCAAGCTCACAAGTCGAGCTTAAGTCCGCTTCTCTTCCAGCAAGCTGAGCTTGAGCTCAAAGTAAGAGGTTAACTTGAGCTCAAGCTCAAGTTCAAGCCTACCTCTAGGAAGACAAGCCAAACTCGAGTTAGCCCGACTCAAATTCGACTCAACTCATTTACACCCATGTATGAGTCTAATCTTTTAGACTTCAATAATTTGATATATGTTCTTAATGATGATTTGGACTTTCTTAAACATTTAATATTAATATTACTTCTAACCACCATTTAATATTATTGAGGTGGGCTGGTGGGTTAGCTTCTGCTTGGGCTCCAGCTAGGTTGGTTGAAGACAGTGCAAAAGGTATTGTGCCTATTTTCTTATTTATATAAAGTGTGAGTGAAATTTTATCAAATAGAAAAAAAAAAGTGTAATATTTTTTATAAGTTGGGATTAAAAAGAGTTATAGGAAATAAAAGAAAAAATAAATGTAATTTCTATCCAAATAAATCTTATTTTTTTATTGCATTGAAGTTTGAGAGATGTTTATTTTTCCAACTATTTTTTATTGATTTATGATTTGCATGGGAGCACTTCTTAAATCCATTAAATATTATGCATATTTTAAAGCTTAATTATTCCCTTTTTTTTCTTGAGTTAGATAATTTTATGTTCATTTATAATCATTTTTCTTTAAGTTAGGGTTTAGCTTTATCATAACTTATATGATTATACTACAACTTATATTATTACTAAAATGATTATTATATTACAACTTATATTGAAATATAATTTTTTTTCTTTTTAAGCGAGATTAAAAAATTTCTTCTCAAATTTAATTTCATTCGTGTGTTTATTGCTCTGTTCAAAGTTGTTTCTAAAAAGATAGCAAGATCTTATTAGTGCTCTTAGATTTTATTTGGAATAGTTTTCTTGCTGTTTTTTAAAATAATTTTTTAATATAAAACTTAAAATTTATGTACTAAAAGACAGTTTTAAAAAACATTAATAAAATTATCCCAAACAAAATCTTAGTATTGTAGGATAAAAACTTTCTGATGATGCTAACACTCTTAACTACTATAAGGGTGCATTGATTGTCTTGAAAGCAAATAATATTAGTGGATTTTATGTGTTGAATTTATAATGATAGCTCATTGAAGCAAGACTGATATTAATTCAATGACATCAAATACTATAAAAGTGAAAGCTACTGTGAAATTAAAAATTTCCCAAAAAAAAAAAATAAATAAATAAAATAGATGCACTATAATAAGGCAAAAATTCACAAGTTTGCCACTGATGGATTAAATTATTGGTGTCCCACATAAAAGTGGGATTCTAAATTTTATTAAATTATTTTGGATTACTTTTGATTTTAATTTTCATGATTGATGACTACTAAACTCAACATACATTCATATTTGAAATTACAAAATTTGTGGCTATATATCGACTCAATATTCATTCACTCTATATTTTTCAAGATGTTGATAACTTAAATAAGTTTTATTCAGATTTAGGTTTTGTTTGGGACATCTTTTGTACTATTTTCTAAAATGACATTTTAGTATGAAATTTTTTAATAAAAAAAAATTTTGTACTATAAAGTTGTTTTAGAAAGTAACAAAAAAGCCATCTGCCTTAGGCTTCCTTCGGACAACTTTTTTAATTTTTTTTTTGTTTTCCGATCACAAACACAATTTTAGTTTGGTTACTATTTTTTCATTGATTTCATGATATTTTTGTGCAAGGAAGCTGATTTCTACTGCAACTTTGAAGAAAGTTATTTTCTCCACAACAACTTAATAATCACTTTTATTAACAACTACAGTCCTCCCAAACAAACTCTTAACATTTCACATCTATTATCTCATGATGCAACTATAAAAACAAGATTTTTTTTTTTTTTTAACTATTAGGGAATTCGAGCCCGGATGAGATGAGAGGAATTTCTTCCATCGACCACTCGGCCGCAGACCTGATCTCCTATAAAACAAGATGAAATCCATAATTTCTTGTCTCCCATAATTTCAAGCAACAAGAAGATAAGAGGCACATCATCCTACGCAAGTAAAGAAAGTTTCACTTACACTTAGGTTTCATTTGGGATTTTGCTTTCTAAAACAGAGTTCTAGTACAAAAAGATGCTTTTTAAGAAATACGTCCCCAGCTTCGTTTGGGACGGCTTTTTTAATGCAAATTTTTAGTTAATCATTCACACCAACCATGTCATGATGCACCTATAAAAGCGAGAAGAAATCAATAATTTCATACATCCGACAAATAAGAAGCAACAAGAAGAGCAGAAAAGGGTGTTGGAAGGGAAATTCTTCGCATTCTTTAAAAAAAGGCAAAAAGTGTTAATCGGCTATAACAAAAAATATTACGCCTAAGCTATAAATCATATGCATAAACTAAATCATACAAATTTAAAGTTTCTTATATGTGATGATTAATCTTTTTATAATAACTTTATTTTTTTTAGGAGGCTGAGATTTTTTAGCTAATTAAGATAAATTCATACACACATCACAGACAAAAAACTATTTAATTGATAGCCAAAACTCTCAACCAACCAATCAGATAAATTATTATATTCGGACGTCGAATGTTGTCTGAAGACTAATCAGAATGCGCCACCTCACCTCTTGCTCAATACTGTGGCTCGGTGCTACTCGTTACCGCGGCTCGATGCTACTGACGTTCTGCATCTGATTGATCTCTGGACGACGTCCTAGATCCGGTCTCTGCAGAGAATAATTTCTTAACAAATCAAGATGGAATCCTTTCCCTGTTTCTAATAAATTTTTATGAAATGGCCCCAAGTTCACTTTCCATCGACAACCCACGAGCCTCTGTCTCCCTCCTTTAACCATGGCGGCGAGCGCATCCCCTTCCTCTTCTCTATAATATCATTCTTTGGGAATCAAAAAAAGTGCAAGACGACAACCTAATCTGAACCCTAACTCCAATAATCCCCTCCACTCTCCCACTCTCTGAGTCACCGACTTCCGCTTATCTCAACCATTACTGAAGACAACGGCAAGCAGACGAAACTCGGCTGGCCCCGGCCCGGCCCCGCCAATCTTCCAATCAGCCATTTTATCAAACACCTTACCAGCATTCGATCCGCATACACATGGATTCCGCCACCGACGAAGCCATCATGGCCTCGCTTCTCAGACTCAATCCCCAAACTCTCCAGTCCCTCGCCGGCGAACTACGTCTGCGGCAACGCCGGCTGTCTTTTCTTCTACTTTCCCCTCCCCACTTCTCCCTTGCCCTTTCTCATCTCCGCTCCCTCTCACTCACAAGCAAAACGCTTCTCCTCGCTCGCTTTCTTCTCCGGTCACTTTCTCTTCTTCAATCCCCCCTCCAGCGCCCCCCGCACCGCTTCTGCCTCCGCGACTTCGACGCCGCCGTCCTCCTACTCGCCATGTGCGATTCATACGATCCCTCCACCGCCGTCCCCGGCATCGATTGGCGATCTCTGATCGCCAACCGGCTTGCCCAAGAAGCTCTATGCCTCGCCGGACTCGGTGGCGGGTGGTGGCAGGTGATTGGTCCTCATGTGGACGCCGCAGGAAAATGCCTACGGCTGGTGGAGGCCGTGAAGAATACGTCGGCTAGCGGCGGAGCCGCCGCCGCTGCTGCGGCGGTCATGTCTCTGGGGATTGCGGAAGTCGGGGAGTGTGCGATATGCGGGGAAGAGATACTGGATGGCGGTACGATGCCCTGCGGACATCCTTTTCATTGGGGTTGTATTTTGGAGTGGCTGCGGATGCGCAACACGTGTCCCTGTTGTAGGTTCGAGCTTCCAACTGTCGATATTTACGGTGAGATTGAAAGGGTGTGGAAGATGATCATCAAGATGGGAGGATGATCATTTCAAGTACAAGAAATTATTGATAATATTTCAAGTTCTACGTATAAATAATAAAAAAATAATTATCATATCATTTTGATCTCTAATCTCAATATAAATTCAAGATCTTTAGGTTTCATTTAGGGATAGATTATTCTATACGGGCATCGAACGTCATCCGGAAGCCAACCAAAATCCGCCACGTCATTTTTTTGCTCGGTACCAGTGTTGGGTACCATTGTGTACCGGGTGACGTGTCGTGTTCTGATTTGTTTCCGGACCATCCAGTGTGATTAATTATTATGTGCGAATGCCGTCTGGAGACTAAACAGAATGCACCACGTCAGCCCTTGCTCGTTACCACAGCTCAATACTTCTCAGTATCGCACGTAGCGCATTCTGATTAGTCTCCAGACGTCAATAAAAAAGATATCGCAAAAGAAGCGTTTGGATATGTATTACATCATGATATCCTGACAACTTTTTTGTCATGATAAAAGTATATAGCCGAGTATTTATCGTATACTCCAAGAAAATGGAATGCATGATGGGTAAACATCAGTACACAGCTCTATATTTTAACAAAATAGAATGCATAGCTGACTGTTGTGTTGTGATGCATGCATAGTCATATTACATAGTTCTCACATAATAATTTCTTATTTTCAAAGAGATAGTTTATTATATTGTATCAAATTATTTTTGTTGTGAGTGTCATAATGGGGAAGATTAGTGAGAATCTCTCTCTCTAAAGTAAAGATGGAGATTTTGAGAATGTGATTAAGGTTTCATTTGAGATAGTGTTCATTTTTTGTTTCTAAAACAACTTTTTAGTACAGAAATTTCTTGAATTTGAAAATTTTGTACTAAAAAGCCGTTTTAGAAAGCAGTACGAAAGTTGTCCCAAATGAAGCCTGAGGCTTTATTTGAGACGATTTTTTTACTGCTTCTTAAAACAAATTTTTAGCACAAAATTTTTAACTTTGATAAAAAAACAGTTTTAAGAAGCAATAAAAAAATGATCTTAAAGAGTGCCTAAACAAGTGGATGAGCAATTATTCAAAGCCACTATTGGAGAATAAATAAAAGAAAGAATTACAAGGTAGCTTATATGGGAAGGCATATGGCTGTATTGATGGATCCAAAGTTTGCTTTGCATTGAATTTCCTAAAATGACCTTACTATCTATTTTGAAAAAAAAATAAAAAATAAATTGCACTAATCTCAAAGCAATTCTCAAGTCTTAAGATATGTGTAATATCCCATGCAAATCCCTAGAGTTAAGGAAGGTGGCATAATGGTATGATCAAACTTTTTAAATCCCACATTATAAAAATAAAATAATATGGCTCTAACTTATGAAGTTGTAAACTCTATGAAGCCTATCTTTTTCTTTTGTTACTATTTAGGGTGATTTTTGTCACACAAAATAGGAAAAATAGTAAGTAAAATAATATTTAAAAAAGATTAAAAAAATTATATTTCTAATTTGTTGTTTCTCATATGCTTTAGGTTTTGTCTGGGATAGTTTTCTTACTGTTTTTTCCAGCAGCTTTTTAATACAAATTTCTTGAAAGCAGCGAATAAGTAGAAGTGAAAAGTTATCCCAAACGAATCCTTAATCTCCAAAAATAGCTATCTATTATGATAAAGAGAGGTAAGTGAATAATATCATAGTATCTTGATATATTTTTTATTGGATGAGCACTAAAATTATTATATTTGCTTTGAGATAAGTGCTATATTTTTAAATTTTTTAGTGCACATATCTTAAAAAGCAAATCTAATATTTTTTAGAATCATTTTGATAAAAAAATTATATCAAAATATCCTCAATATTTTTTTCTATAATTAATCTTATTATATGGGAATATAATGCATCTATAGTGCTAATACAATGTCAAAATATCCTCAATATTTTTTTTCTATTATTAATTTTATTATATGAGCAATATAATGCATCTATAGTGCTAATACAATGGTCTCATTATCATGCATAAACTATTATGATGTCAGAAAATAATTAATCTTATTATATGGGAATATAATGCATCTATAGTGCTAATACAATGGTCTCATTATCATAAACTATTATGATGTCAGAAATACAGTGGTGCATGCATCAACTAGTGTAAGAAGATTAAAGAAAGAAAACATTATTATAAATAATTATAAATATAATTTATTGATTAAAAATTAAATGAATTTATTTATTATTTATTTTGCACTGTCCATAGCTTGTCTCATGTGAATGAGTAAGAAATTAATACTTCCAATTGCCTACTTATTTCATGATATCAAAAGTGATCATGATTGGGAAAAAATATTGGGATAATTTGTTACAATTTATATTAGGATGAATTTAAACACCATTAGATTTACTTTAAGATTAGTGCACCACATTAATCATTTATGTGCAACACTCATCTTAAAGCAAATACAATAATTTTTCAACTCCATCCTGATACAAATTATATTAGATCATACTGACATAAATTTTTTTTTCTCATGGTGTATGCATTTTTGCCTAATTTGAGTTTAAATATACATCTTTTAGCATTAATTATCATATGAAGTCAATATATAATTATTACGTGCTAGAATATTCATGATAGTAGAGTGAGAAAATGGAATGTCTTAGCATTGTATGATGATCTTGCACACACAAATAAAAGATGAGTTGTGAGAGATGCTAGATTTTTTATGTGAAAAAAAAAAATTATGGTGCTTAGAGCAATTAAAATGATCCCACCAATGTACTTTATCATTTATAAATGATGTATTTTCTCGTAATTGGGGACTGCATTGATATAATATAATAGAAAATAAATTATAGAAATAAAGTTATCTTTAAGAGATTATTTGTTATCTATTTAGTCATTCTCCTTTAATTAGAGAAGATCAAAGATCAAGCAGCCAATATAAATATTGGTGTTGACGTTGAGAGATAAACCATGACAATGACTAGGGGTGTCAATTTCGGGTCACGGGTCGGGTTCGGGTCGAACCCGAAACTGACCCGGCACTATTCGGGTCAACCCAAACCCGACCAGTTTTTAAAAACGGGTCAGTTTTCTTGACCCGAACCCGACCCGCTTCGGGTCCGGGTCAACTCGACACGACCCGAATGACCCGTTTCCAACAAGAAAATGGCTAATTTTTGGGTCAAAAATGGGTCAACTTTAAGATTAGTGCACCACCACATAAATGATTCATATGCAACACTCATCTTAAAGCAAATACAATAATTTTTCAACTCCTTCCTAATACAAATTATATTATATCATAATGACATAATTTTTTTTCTCATGGTGTATTCATTTTTGCCTAATTTGAGTTTAAATATACATCAAGGAGCCATGATTAGCATTAATTATCATATGAAGTCAACATATAATTATTGCGTGCTAGAATATTAATAATAGTAGAGTGAGAAAATTTAACGTCTTAATATTGTATGAAGGTCTTGCACACACATGCAAATAAAAGATGAGTTGTGAGAGATGCTAGATTTTTTACGTGAAAAAATACAAAAAAATTACGATGCTTAGAGCAGTTAAAATGATTCCACAAATGTACTTTATCATTTACATATGAGGTATTTTCTCATAATTGGGGAAGGCATTGATATAATATAATAGAAAATAAATTATAGCAATAAAGTTATCTTTAAGAGATTATTTGTGATCTATTTAGTCATTCTCCTTTAATTAGAGAAGATCAAAGATCAAGCGGCCAATATAAATATTGGTGTTGATGTTGAGAGATAAACCATGACAATGACATGTATTATACGTGTAGGTGATGGCGTGTTTCATTGTTGTTGGTGACAACAATCATCGACCTTTATGTCAATAACAGGCATCAATCTTAAAAGCGACATATTACATCGACATTATTGGTGATGGTAAATAATGAAATTATCGAGCATCAGCATTGGTATTAACAATGTACATTAGCCTTATAGGCGAAAGTGTGCGTTGATGTTATTGATGGAGGCAATTGAAGAAGTTGGTAGGCATCGATTCTTTTGTCGACATCATGCACAAGCCTTAAAATCAATAAAATGTGTTGATGTTGTTGGTGATGAAATGCAATAAAGTTGACATGCATCTGTTTAGTTGGGTAACAGTCTTTGGGAGACTGTAGTGGTTAGAAGACTGTAATTGGGTGATAGTAGTTAGGAGACAGTAAATGAGTGATAGTGATTGATAGATCATAAGCGTGCGTTAATGGACAATAGACCATAATTGGATAAATGTGATTAAGAGACTGTGGTCAGGCAATAGTTGTGAATATATTATAATCATGTAAAATTGGTTGAACGATCATAGTCCGACGATGGTAATTTAGAGACGATGATTAGGAAATCGTAATTGGCGAGGTTGGTTGAGGATAATAATTAGATAACTGTGGTAGAGCTATGATAAGTTGATGAAGGTGCTCGAGTGGTGATGGTTAGAGAGATGACAATCTAATGACAAATTGACAATGACAAGATAATGATAAATTGATAGTGATGGTTATACAATTGTGATTGGATGGTTGTTATCGGATGGAGCATTCCGATGGTGGTGGTTGAGAGGTGATTGTGAGACCTCGTTCCCTTACTGTTCCTCTCTGACTTGGATTTTCCTACCAGGATCGTCCGGGACGATAGTGAGATCGTCCAGGCCGATCTGTACCGTTCAAAATATCGTCCTGAAAATAGTTCTGGGAATCGTCCAGGACGATCGATTTTGGTCTGATCATCTCGGGATGATCTGGCGATCAGCCGGGCCGATCAGCCTAATGATATAAGAAAATCATCCCGTTTTGAGGAGAGAGAAAATCATTTTAGTAAAAACAGATATTTTGAAGAGAGAGAAAGAGAGGAAAAGTAAAGGAAATCCTTGGTTTTGGAGGCCGCGGAGCGCTTTTCGTCCGACGCTGCTGTTGGAGAAAATGTAGATCTCGTGGTAAGGACTCCGAATCCTATTTCTGTTTTCAGAGATATTGAGTTTTGATCGAGTTGTGCACTGTTTTGTGTTTTCGTAGTCGAACTTTTGACCCG